TAGACAAATATTTAACTAGAAACTCCTTCAAGATAAGGTCACAAATTTGTGGCGAGTGGAGAAGTGCTTGATTTGGAAAAAGAAATCAAGCATCCACTTCTTTTTTTTGGCACAAGGAACAAACAAAGCAAAGGAAAACATCCATCCTTATAAGCAAGGCAGACAAAGAACCAATCCACTCTCCCTTGTAGTCAGGGAGACCTCTTCAGCTGATTTCAACGAAAGCGAGATCGATTCCTGTTTCACCTGCTAGCCAGCTTTGCAAAGTGCAGTTTGTGAAATAAGCAGCTTACATAACTGCGTATTTTCAGCACTACATACATAAATGCTTCCTCTATCCTGCAGAAGGTATTTTTGGATCTGCTAAAATGCTGCTGTGTTCTTCCAGGGCTTTGCATTCTTCTGCTCAGAAATTGTATAATCTGATGCCATAGGAAATAAGTGATGTTGCATAATGCTTCCTATATTCACTGCAGGATTTCAGTACTACACGTTTCTGTTGCAAAGCAGCCCTTCTCTGTGAATCTGAATTGAGGTCCTCAGTTTTTGAAGAAAGGATAATCTATCAGCCACCTGCTTTGGGGGCAGGGGTGGGGTTAACAAACCAAGCACCATCTTGTATCATACTGTTACAAGAACTTCACAAAACTCAGTTTTAACTTTGTATGCCCATTTGCTGCTTCTGTTTTCCCTCACTCTGGTTGCTCACATGTCTTGAGCTACATGCATACTTTAAACACCAGAAGTTTCATATACAATATTCTGATGTCCAGTTTCCATCACAGGCTCATCAATACTATTGTAAAACATTTAGCTGGTATAAAAGACAGACTAAATGCTGACTAGCCTTTTATACTACTGAATTACTATTGGAATGTATCTTAGATCAAAATTTAGAAATTACCTTATGTTACACTCTTCCCTTTCATCTTTCCAGCTGTCTTCACAGTATGAAACAACTTTTAAAATCCAGTCACAGACTTCATGCTCTTCTCTACTCCTTTTCTCTCCTCATCCTTCTGCACTTCTTTCTTACCTCATTAAAGATCCATGTTATATTACTAAATAACAATAACAGATTAAAGGATTTAAATTCAAATATTTTACAACTACAAAACCCAGGAAAATCTCAAAAGTTAAGTTCACAGATGCCTTACAGCCTCTATGACATTGCCAGATGAAGACATTAAAATGTTTCAGTACTACCAATGAACAGCATCTTGTAATTTCCCCCACTTAAAGAACTGAAACATCATATTTTCCTCCAAGGAGTAGCATTAAGATTAATTAATGCCTGAAAGATCTTTGAGGATGAAGATCAATATCAAAGTGCTATTTTCAGGAATCCAGTGAATGAATCAAACCCTCACTTAACTCGTGTCAGGCATCAGACTGGTCTCAGGTAAACACACTTATTCATATTTTTGTAGTAGATATGAATTATTCAATATTTGCATAGCATATTTGACATGTAAAAGCTATACACAGAAACTTCTCAGCACTAACAGTTTACATGCTTCACACTCAATGTTAAAGTAACTAAACAACTATACACGAAAATGCAAAAATTACTAGGGTACGTGCAATGCTCTCTCCTCTCTCAACAGTACACTAGGTACCAGAGCGTGTACACCTGATGGGAAGTGCAAGGGGACACTTGAAATCCAGCTGGCAGATCTCTCAGAGGAGAAATTACAGTAGTACTAGGTTGTATTTAGTAAGCACCATACATGAGCAAAGAGGATTACTCCTCGATAGAGAAGCAAGCACAATGACTGGCTCATGAGCCTCTATTAAGCCTGTATTACTGACACACTGCAAGAGGTTAGAGCAACATCTGAGAGGTGTGATCCTATTCTTAGGCCACTAGAGCTTTATGTGATGGTAACACAATCAAGACAGCAGACACAACACGCAGCCACAGACTGAAGAACCGTAGAGGAGCCTCCAGAGGCCTGATATGACACAGGCCACCTAACACCCTACAGAGACCTTCCAAAGCAGCACTCAGCTCCTTGGTTCATTCCTGCAAGATCACTTTTTGGCTACAGTTGATAAACCAACATTTGAGAATCTCCTCAGGCACATAAGGATAGTGAGGGTGATTTTCTGTGTTTCAGCAGAAAAGGCACAGCTGTACAGCTGCATTACTGATTTTGGTGTCCTCCAGAAGGCAACAGAGTAATGGGTTGGGGACAGGAAAGGACAAACATCCTAGGAATGAAGAAAATGTCCACACAGAGAGACCTCCATTCCTCAAGTCCACTATGCTGGAAAAAGTCCAGCTTCCTACCCACACCCCACTAGGACTCTCTCCTTCCTTCCCTTACAGCACCTCTCACACAGAGCTAGCGACTGCTCTAGAAGAAACAAGACAATTACAGGTTCACCAGAGGATTATAAAGCCCACATACTTTATACAGAAAAATCTATTCTTCACCCTGGCCTACACCCAACTGTTGCTAATGCCTTTGAACCCACTCCAATGACCGACTTTTCAGTTGAAGTTGTAAACAGGGACAGAGGTCAAAATGCATGTTGAGTATTTACAGGGGTGGGAGTAAATGCACACGGTGTTTCTGCTGCCGGCCCACCTCAGTATTTCTGCCACAGCTGTCAACTTGCTATTAAATCCAAAGTAGTATGCGTTTTAGGTGAAATATTTACTCCCCCCACCTCAAAACATGAGAGTGATTTGCTGTAATGTCACAAAACCAGCAGCCTACAAAAGCCTAAGCCCCTGCACAGGACATATTTGCCAAGGAGGGATTAAAACAAACGTCCCATAAGCTAGTCAGGGCTTGCTCAAGTGCCAAACTCCTGAGAACTTCAGCCTCTTCAGAGGATGCAGAGGTAACATCTGCCTCAACTGACTCACGTTGATCCAGTTATGGCTGAGAAACTCACTGGAAGTTGTAAAAGCAGTAAGTCTGCTGCTCTCTTCCTCCAAACACGGGATCTTGAGTAAGAGCTTGGCTAAAATGCTACATGCACAGCAAGGTTCGGGCACCTTCCCCTGCCTACACTGGCCCAAAGGACCAGAGCTGAAGAGGAACTTGCACTGATTTTAAATCTGTTCACACAATCAATGTCAGACTACTTTTATTTTTATATATACAAGCTTTATTTAAACACTCTGCCATTTTGAGATGCCCTACTATTTGAAATCCACTCCACACATCTTGACTGCAAAAAGCCTTGAACAGTTACCAGATATGAACAACTCCAGTCTAATCAGTCACCATCCCACATTTGCTGTAAGAAAGTCACAAGAAAACAAGAAATACTGTAAAACCTTTCTTATCCTGCCACTGCTTAGAGCAGAACCATATTTTAATAACTACTAAGCGTGAAACAGCTTACCTATGAAAAGATTTTTCAAATAAATCATTACTCAATTTTCTGATCCACTGGAGATAAGCCACTTACCAAATCTTTACAATAAGAGACAAAAGAGGAAGGTTAAAAATGCAACCAGAAAAAAAAAACCCACAAAAATTTTTAAACACAAGTTCACGTATAGCTGAGAACTGTAAGAGTCCCTACCATATATCCTGTGCTAGAAGTTATTTGCTAATTCCAGGCACAGGGGTCAAAATGAATGCCAGCTATAAATTTAACTATCAGGCAGCAGGGGACAAAGACAAACTGGAATGACAGCACCATTCTAGATCAAAGAATCAGACTGGAGGCCCAAAATACAGGAAACAAAACTGATGCTAAAGCAAAACAAACAAACAAAAAACCCACCGCATCAAAGTCATGATTTGTTTTTCACAGCCAAAGTCTGTTACTGAAACAGAGGTTCAAAGGGTTGTCTCTCTCTAGAAACAAAAACCCACATACAGTTGGGGACACAACAAAAGGGACAGTAACAAAAACTTTTAAACCAATGACAACTTCAACCTCTGCATTCTCAGATATCCCAAGATGTCTGTGGCTACACACACAGAAATCACTGTGAAAAGTGCCCACATTTGCGAGTCAGACTGGCTGAATCTCCCTCTCGTTTCCAACAATTTGGGTTTTATTTCAAATATTTTCTCCCTCAAAATTATCAATAAAAATACGTTCCTTCAGTTTCTTCTACTGAACAGACTTCCTATTGATAAAATCTGCATATCCAAACACATGGGCCTGATGTCATCTTTCTCCATATCAACTTAAAATACCCAATTTTTGATTTACTTGAGAGACTTGTGGCTTGATATGATTAAGCTATTGCAGTACCTAAACCACCCCCCCAAAACAAAAATAAAAAGCAGCTCCACTCATTTCATTGGGAGAAAACATGACATCATGCTCCAGTCAAGTAAGTAAGAATATGACAAATCTTGCCCCAGTGAACAGTATCATTAACTGCAATGGTACTCCCAGTTTCCTCATCTATTAGGAAAATGTGGGGTAAAAATCATGTGTTCAGCACAACAGAGACAGCTCAAACTGCTATTTTCAATAATAAAGGAACAAATTCCTACCTGTCTGACAGAAAGAAAACACATCTCTTCCTCATTTCAAAAAAAAAAATTAAAATTATTTATTACTGTAACACAACAGAAGAATTGTTTGATTAGCCCACAAGGAAAAAAAAAATTACAATTGCCTAGAAGACAAAAAATTTAATTCTGCTTCTTTATACTATCTCTAGTAATTCTTATGTCATCCCTGTATATTCCATATATAGCTATTCTTCATTGCCATTCCCTTCCCCTTTAAAAGGGGGGCACAAGAAGATAACGTGCAAAATTGCAACTGAAAAATGTCTAGCACACCGACAAGCAAAAGGACAGGCCAGCTATCAGATTTATATGCAGTGATGGATAAATTAAGGTTTCACATTTCCTCTTCCCTTCTCTCAGCATCATTTTTTCAGCCCTTTCACATCACAAATGCAACATCCATCTGTCCTTCTGAAATAAATGGCGAAAGGGTAACACTGACCATTAAACATACACAAACATACACGCTTCAAAAAAAGACATTTTCATCTAAATACTCACAAGGATTAAGATTTCCTATGTGATGCTCCATTTTCTTGTTTTAAAAAGATGGAAGGCAAAAAAAAAAAGGAAGTGTTGCAAAATAAAAGGAAATTCCACCCACACAATCCTGCAGCCTGCTGCAAAGAAGCACAGAAGCGTGCTGACGTCACAGATTCATGAATGGATGTAAATCGGGCTGTTTCGAGATTCGGCGGTGCTGGCTGGGGCCGCGCACCGTGAGAGGCAGAGGGGAGCAGGGGGGCAGCCAATCCGTGCTGGCACCACCGGCCGCCTTCTACCAGCAAAAAACTGGGCACCGAACAGCCCAAGCCCACCGGCAAGTTGCCCCGAAAGGCCAGCCCGTGGGTCTCCCCCACCAGCTGGGAGTGCTGCCTGCCTCTGTACTACGTGTGTAAGGGGGGCAGTGGACACTGAAAACAATTTGGTCGTAACCGAAGTGAAGCTGTTGGGTAAAATGGCATCACTGCTGCCATTCCGCGGAGAGGACCGGGCAAGGACATCCTCTAATGCCTTCAAGTCATTGCTCCGGCGAGCTTTTGCCCCTCCGTACAGCTTGGATAACAGCAGCATATCAAATAACAGCCATCTGTTATACAAATCAAATGTATTTAGTAATCAGAAAAGGAGTTTATCATCTCTCTGGCTTCTTTCAGGATTACAAACCCTGGGTATTATTATTAAAATAACTAAATATAAGCATGTACTGGAAGGAAGCTGCAGGGAGAACAATAGGAGGCTTGTATTTGATTAGTGATGCAAAAGCACCACCAAAATAAAAATAGGAGCACTAAGAAAATCACGATTCAGCTCTCATCAAACATTCCCAACAGCAGGCAGACAGTATCACAACGTCAGAAACATTCAGACACAAAAATTGAAGTACGCACAGTTTCACACTTAAGGCTACATAACGAATGGTGGCCACAATGTCCAAGTATCACAGCCTACCAGCCATTTTCATTTCAGTTTCAATTCCATGACAATGAATATACTTAATTCTGCATAGCAGATGCAAGGACACAGGGCATCATTTTGGACACCCGAATAGATGGCAATGTCCTGGTGAACACATGCAAGAGTGACTATGATTAACTTGGATCCAGACAGGGGAAGAGCAGAAGTTTTGCCTTATTTCTGTTTCTGAGCATAACCAGGAATTAAGGTCAAGGGTTGAAGGAAAACCTAGGCTGTAAGCTATGTAATCACACCATCTCAGCGTTTACCAGAATTCATCAATTTGGTCTCTAAAACTCCTTCTAAAATTTGTACTAAACCCAAAATTTATAGCCTCCAAATTATTAAGAGTCAGAATTTCCATGTTTTCACCACACATTTTCCTAGGAAGCAGGAAGCAATTATGCCAAAATAGGATGTCCCAAAACTTGCTCAGGTGGAGCACATCTTAAGAGAATGTCTGAGAGAATCTCACCTTTCCTTATGGAAACTGGGTAACATTCCAAAATAAACCAGGACTGGATGTAACAACAATGTGGATCTGGATTTAGAAACCAAGGAGCTTGTGCTAACCGGTATCATGTGAGCCAGCACCACTGATGCTAGCTTGTGTAGAGGGAGGAGAAGGGCAGGATGCAAAAGCCTTCCTGGAGGCTAATACAGCCACACCTACAGAGACAATACTTACCTAAAAACGTACTTAAATGAGGGATAGGTAGGTTTTTGCATGTATTAAGACAGTAGTTTATTTTCTTATGCACCTTTGACATTGGAGCAAGGAACGGACAGCCAAGACAGTACATCCAGCTTTTCTCTTCTCCGGTTCTGTTATGCCAAAAGACATCATTTGGAGTCATTGGACTTGTACATCTGCTTCTCAGAACATCTTCATCTCTTAGTTGTACCATAGCATATTATTAGATACTATCACTCCACCAAAGAGTTGCAATGATAGGAATGTATTAGCATGCTCTGAATTCAACAGCGGCCACAATAAATTGAGCTTTGATTTTGGACTCTGGTGTTTACACTGAGCTTTATAGAGCTGGTCAGACAAAACGAAAAGGAATGCAAATTTCTCATTACCTACTTTCAAGAAGCTGGCAAGCACAAGTTAACTTTCGGAGCAGAAATATATATTCTTTAAAAGCTACAAGTCACAAAACACAAAGCATGAGATTTCTACCCAGACAATGCAATCGCTACAGATTGAGCACTACTATACACAAGTAGAAGCAGGAGTGGAGGTATGGCGAGAGACATCTCTTCTTCAAAGGGATCACTTCATGTCACTATTTCAAACCCCAGCTGCATCAGGTTACTCAGACCTGCTCTGACTCCCTCCCTTCCCTTCCCCTTCAGAGCCCAAGACTCTGCTTTACAGCAGACATCACCACCATTGCACAAAAACAACAGCTTCCAGATTTCCCTGGCAGTTTCAAAACAGAAGCAAAAATGTTAATTTACTTTCTTACCCTAAAGCAAAAAGGGATAAATTCAGGAACCAGAAGGAGGAGCACAGTACCACATGCAAGAAGTGGAAGAAAAGAAGAAATACTGCTATAGAACAAGAAAAGTCAGAATAAAAACAGAAAGGAAAATAATTTTCAGAGGGTTTCCAAGGGTTAATTGCAGTGACATTTAAAAAAACCCACACAGCAGGCAAAATAAGTGGGAACAAAACCCCAGAAGCTTGTACATACAACTTCAGATTTTCTTCTCCATGGTGACTTGGTTCGGCATACCAACACTCACAGTCACCTATATCTCAACAGCTCAGGTTAAAATTTTCAAACACAAAGGTCCTGAATTTAATGCAAGATAACTACCTTAACTCATTATGGGGAAAAAAAAAAAAAAAAAAACAAAAATCAAACCCACCATTGGCCTACAACTGATGTCTGTTACAAGATTATCCTGGTCACCAAATAACAACATTAGAAAACAGGATGGTTGCAACCAGTTGCATATTTTAATAGCACACATTACATAGCTCTTTTGATGAATCAGTGGTGAGTAACTAAGTTGATCAATATTAGAAAAATAAATTTTTTTCCTCCTTCTCATTCAGAAAAAAACACTGGTAAAACCAGGGAACCCTGTGATGTATCAGACGCCCAAACAAAATTCTACGGATAAATTTAGCTCAGTATTTATGTGAAAAAAAAAAAATGTACAAAGTACAAGAGTATAAGATACCAAAAAAACCAAAGTTCATAAGGGACCATAAAAGTGCTAGCGAAAAGTTCACAGGCAGCAGGATTTCTGAAAGGATATACAAGTAACTAGACCACTAGGAGACACAGTAGGCAACACTGGTGGTAATGGGTGCAAAAAGGACAGCTAGAAGTATTTTTAAAATATCTGTTTGCCATATTTGAAAAAGACAAGATAATTAATTTCTTTTAAGCCAATTAGTAACTAATAGGAAAGTTATACAGCATCTGCTAGGCATAACATTTCAAGTTGGCACATCATGTTAATTTGAGCCCAGTCCTAAAATAATCATTTAACAAGTTCCCCGATCCTGTGACCTTCAATTTTAATAAACTGGAAAACTATTAAAATTGCACAAGACTGAGAATAACAGTATTATGCCAATATTCAAAGATAGCAATAGTTTGCTATTTGTAGGCCTGGTGACTTGATGCTGATCTTGGGCAAAAATCCTAATACAACCTTTGATTGGAAAGGATGGTTCTGCTCCATCAGACCAAAGGCCCATTCAGTCCAGCGTCCTGTCCCTGATGGTGGCGAGTTACAGACACACAGGGAAGTAGAAAATCAAAGCAAATGCCTAACCCTTCTTGTGGCACAGTCCACTAACAAAAGCAGAAAATTAGAAAAGAGATGAAAGTAACTCAAAGACTAATTTCGTAATTATACATCAGTAAGACTGTTTATAAATCTACTTGGCACACACTTGGAGGTACAAAAGGAACTTCACTGTGAAAACTTTCTACCTGGATGAATAAATAGGTGAAGTGAAACAGCAAATGATTCTTTAACAGAAGAAAGCCTAGGTAAATATTTGCATAGATAAGATGGTTAGAGGGATATTTTATTGTGAAGTTCCAAAATCTGTGAAATCTTTGATCCACTCTTCCAACCCTGTAGGCATACTTTCCTCTTTGGAATGTCCTAATCTTCAGCAGTGGGGTGTGTGACAAGAAGGAAGAAAAAAACCCCAAACAAACATACTTAAACTATCAGATCTTCAGGCTTTTAACCAGAATCTCTCCAGATTTGAGACTTTGAGAAGTCCTCCCTGCAAAGGCAGGTGAACAGGACTGCAATTCGACAGGACCAGCACCCAGAACTGGGATCAGAGAAGCATAGGAAAAAAAAAAAAAAAAAAAAAGACTCAAAGAGAAAAAGCCCAGAAGTGGGACATGTGTAATGCCAGGAGAACAGGTGAGCTGCAGTTTGAGTCAAGGGCCCTAATCACAAGCCCTATTTTGAAAGGGAGTCTGTTTACAACAGGACAGGACCAGTGATTTCAGACCCTGTTCCTGCCTCGCTGCTCTTGTGACAGCTGCTGAGCCACCACAACCCAGAACCTGTAGCTGGAAGATGAGCCCCACACCGACTAAAGGGTTGCCTTTGGGACAGGGTAAAGCTAGGGTGTACATTTTGGTGCCCAAATTGCTGCAACACTGGCAGTAGGGCTACCCCTGGAACAAGGGTTAGCCCGGTTCAGATAAGAAACATCAGAGCTGCCTCTGCTCATAAACCAGCATCATTAGTGAGCCATGGTGAGACATTTAGGTCTGCTTAAAAATGAAAGTAGAAAGCTGGAGATGGCTACAAACTCACAGATAAACAATACACTGAGAGGAAAGTACCTGTATCATCAAGTGTCTACCCAAAAGCTATTCAAACAAACTCGCGGACACTTGTTCCACCACTGTACCACTGTCAAACGAAAGTGCTACCAACTTCTGTACCAAAGTGAGGCTTTTTACACCAAAACCATCTTTCACATTGGTTTTTTTGACTGAGTGTGCTCTGCAAGATATGATGGGTAGGAGTGCCTAAGACTATATGATGACTTCCTTTAATCCTGTATTACCTTTAGCAACACTCCAGGAACTAAAAGAAAGACACTA